TTGCTCTTCAGCGCTTGAAAGAGGTCTTTTGCAGTTGATTTGCCCAGTGTTATATGTCGTCTGATGTCCTGACTGCTGCTTCCATTGACATCGATTGTAGAACCAAGTAATGTGAAGTCTTTGACAACTTCAATCTTTTCTCCATTTATCATGATGCTGCTTATAGGTCCAGTTGTGAGGATTTTTGTTTTCTTTATATTGAGGTGTAATCCATACTACAGACTGTATTATTCAATCTTCATCAGTAAGTACTTCAAGTCATCTCACTTTCAGCAATAAAGTTATGTTGTCAGCATATCGCAGGTTGTTAATGATTCTTCCTCCAATCCTGATGCCACATTGTTCTTCATATAGTCCAGCTACTTGGATTATTTGCTCAGCATATAGATTGAATAAGTATGGGTAAAGGATACACCCCTGATGCACTCCCTTCTTGATTTTAAACCATGCAGTGTTCCCTTTTTCTGTTTAAACGACAGCCTTTTGATCTATGTACAGGTTCCTCATGAGTACAATTAACTGTTCTGGAATTCCCATTCTTCTCAATGTTATCCACAATTTGTTATGATCCATATAATTAAATGCTTTTGCAGAGTCAATAAAACACAAGTAAATATTTTTCTGGTATTCTTTACTTTGAGCCATGATCCATCTGGCATCAGCAATAATAGCCCTTGTTCCACATCCTCTTGTGAATCCAGCCTGCACCTCTGAAAGTTCTCTATGAATATACTGTTGCAACCAGTTTTTAATTATCTTCAGTAAGATTTTACTTGCATGCGATATTAATTATATTATTTGGTAATTTCCACATTCTATGGGTGGGATCACCTTTCTTTGGAAGGGGTACAAATATGGATCTCTTCCAGTCAGTTGGCCAGGTAGCTGTCTTCCAAATCTCTTGGCATAACCGAGTGAGTGCCTCCATAGACCTCACAAAATGGAATACCAAACCAAATCAAACTCACTGCCGTCGAGTCAGATCCGATTCATAGAATTCACAGGGATAAAATCAACTACATCTGTGGATTGATGCAATAGAGAAGCCCAGTATCAGTCAGAGCAAGGCCAGGAGCTGACCTTTGGAACAAACCATCAATCACTCTTATGCAAGTTGAAGTTGTAGCTGAAGACAATTAAAATAAGGCCACAAGAGCCAAAATATAGCCCTTAGTACATCCCACCTGAATTTAGAGTCCATCTGAAGAATAGATTTGATGCAATGAATAAAAGTGACTGAAGACCAGATGAGCTGTGTGAGCTGTGCAGTGACATCAGAGGCATCATGTGTGAAGAAACAGAAGGTCATTGAAAAGACAGGAAAAAAAAGGGAAGATAAAAATGGATTTCAGAAGTCTCTGTAACTTGTTCTTGAACAGAGAGTAGCTAAAGGGAATAGAAGAAATAATAAAGTAAAAGAGCTGAATAGATTTTAAAGGGCAGCACGAGAGAACAAATTAAAATATTGTAATGAAATGTGCATAGACCTGGAGTTGGAAGATAAAAGTAAAAGACCATACTTGGCTTTCCTTAGGCTGAAATAACTGAAGAAAAATTCAAGCCTTGAGTTGTGATATTTAAGAATTCTATGGGCAAAATATTGAACGATGCAGAAAGCATCAAAAGATGATGGGATAGCATTCATGTGCCTACAAGACATTAGATCCCATCTTGCTAGGATACCCATTCCAGATTTTTGTTTTCCTTGCTGCCTTTAAAGAAGCAAATTTCCTTGAGCCCTACAACTACAAGGAAATGAATTCTTCCAGCGTGTGAGATAGTTTATTAGTTTTCTGTGCATAACAAATCATCAAAAAGTAGCTTAAAAGAGCACATATTTATTTTCTCACAGTCTCAATAGATCAGAAGTGGATGGCCAGCTCAGGAGTCCAAACCAGGCTTATCTGGGTCGTCTGCAAAGCTGCAATCACAGTGTTGACCAGAGCTGGGTTCTCATCTGGAATCTCAAGTGAAGCGTTTGCTTCCATGTTATCTCATGTTGTTGGAAGAATTCATTTCCTTGTGGTTTTAGGGCTCAAGGAAATTTGCTTCTTTAATGGCAACAAGGAAAACAAGAATCTGGAAGGTCTCCTAGCAAGACAGAGTCTAATGTATTGTAGTCACAACAATGATATTACATCATCTTTTCCATGTGTTACTAGTTCAAAAAACAATAACAGGTCCTGCTTACACTCCAGTGGAGGGGATTACACAAAGACATGAACACTGTAAAGCAACCATCATGAGGGTCATCTTAAGTCTGTCCACTGTCGTACCTCTTTCAGATTAAGGTTTTCTTCTACTCATTTGTTAAAATATAAAATCTATTCATGATAAAAAAAACTTAAGCAGGGACATTTTTGCATCTCTGAAATCATCATAGAATTTTTATCTTTATTCTATTAGGTTGTTATAAATATTGAACCAACCTTGAATTCCTGAAATAAATTCCATTGGAGGATAATGTATTATATACTTTTTATATTATTGCTGAATTTGGTTTGCAGTTAGTTTGTTTAGAGTACCTGCATCCATAATTTTCTTTAGTGTAATAGTCTCACCAGGAATTAGTATCATACGCTAAAGTCATATTGTCCTTTAAAATTTAAATTTGCTTTTGGCACTGTATGCCATGTTTTCTAGGAAGTTTAATTCCTTCCTTGGAATTCTGAAGGTTCCAGGATTGATTCTGTATGTGTTTCTTTTCTGATAAAACTTCATTCCTATCTTAACTCCCAGGACCAATATCTGTTTTATAGCTAACCTACTCCAGAACTCGAGTTTTTTTTTTTTTTCTTAAAAGCTCTTCAGGTACTGCACCACCAGGCGTTTCTAACCATTCTTCTCAGCTCTTTCTCTCTTGTTTCTTGGTCACTGATTTCTCTTTTTTCTCTCCTCTTTTCTGTTTTCCATTGCAGATTCCATGTCCTTTCTTTTGTAATTGTCATTATTCTTGTTGATTATTTTATTTTTGAAATTATCAAACTGTAAAGTTGAACTTTTCTCATTTGGTGTACAGATCTGTGAACTATGCGTGTGGACTTTTTCTATCACTGTAATTTTGTCCTTTTAAAAATGTCAAATACATAGAATCATACAGTACACTTCAGTGACAGAAATGTTAGACCTTAGTTACTTTCCTACAGGAACAAGGCCCTGTTCATTTTGTCTGTTTTTTCCCTGTGTTGTTTACCCTGGATAATTTCTATTGACCTCTCTTATCTTGCATTCCCTTCCCTTGTCTTGTCTCTTTTCTCTGTCACTACAATCTGCTGTTGAGCCCATCTCTCATCTGCTACTAAGCCTATCCAGCCATATTTGTTATATTTTTCAATTCTAAAATAATTTTTTGATTCTTCTTTAAATCTTTTATTTCTTTGATACGGCAGCTTTTTCATTGTTTCAACAGTGTCTGTGTTGTTACTGGAGTATTTGTATAATGGTCACTTAAAAGTCATGACAGATAATTTCAACATCTGTTTCATCTCAGCATTAGGGTCTGTTGATTGTTTTTTCCACGAGAATTGAGATATACTTGGTTCTTTGTATGCCACATAATTTGTATTGTATATTTGCAAAAAGGGCAAGGAGGCCACATGTTCTGACCTCCTCTAATCCCACAAGAGGAAGACAGAATCACCATCAATAGCCCAAGGCCTATTACTGCAAGGCCAGACATGCTGCCTCCCTCCAGCCCTTTTCACCAACCGTTCCTCCCAAAGCACCCACCACCTCTCTCCTGGGTTCGATAATTCGCTGCAGTGGCCCCACAGAACTCACAGATTATGGGGTTTATTAGGGAAGCACCAGGCTACATTTCAAGTTTAGGAAAAACGTTCAGTCTCTCTCCCAGCCCACCGTCTCTCAGCCAACTCTCTCACAGTCTCTCCCCAAGCAGTGCATGTCCCTCGGTGTCTTACTCAGCAACACGTGTCTCCTGTGTCTCTATCCCAACAGCACGTGTCTCTTTCTGTAGCATGTGTCTCTTTCAGCAGCACATCTTCCTCAACCAGCAGTCAGAGAGAGTTCTGCCTCTAGGAGGCCTCCTTTTAAGCCCGGCAGGGTGGTCAAACTAGCCAATCACAGCATCAGAACTCTAAGCACTTGAGAAGAGTGGGCAGTTCTCAGAACATTGTTTTGTGCCACTCCCAACAGAAATACTCCAGGTGGACACCTTCAGCAATTAGGAGCTCCTCAGTTGCTCATAGAAAATCCCACCTTGGAGTTTACAAAGACTTTTGGGTAGAAAAGCCACACTAAGTAATTTACTACACCACAATATTTGAACTTTTGCATATTATGTTGTGAGATTCTGGGTCTTGTTTTAATCCTACATTAAATGTAGATATCTTTGTTTCAGCAGACATTTGATTCAGTTAGATTCAGGTTACAAGTTCCAACCTGTTTTGTTTGAGCTGTGGTTCCAGTATCAGTTATGTTTTCTAAAGCTTTCCAGTGCTATTTTCTTCTGTCCTCCCTTTGTGTCTCCTAGTTATCAGTCTGGCACCTGGTGGTCTTCAGTCTGTTAGTTCAGTTCTCAGAGTCTTTGGTGTCCTGACTATCATCATAACCATACATGTGCAGCTCAAGGATGAGCTCAAGACTTTATAAACAACTTTATTTGGTCCCTTTCTTGAGCTTCTCTCCCTCTGAGATCTTTTAAGATTCTTGAGCTTCTTGAGAAAAGATATAGCTATTATGAAATTATTATATAATTTTAAACAAATGAGTATTTTAATTCAAATAGCTATATGATTATTCTTTATAATGTTCATGTGTTTTTTATAAATAAGAATGTACTTTTTAAATTCATAGTTTAAATGAGCCCTACAATAGTAGTAGTCATGTCCTAATTTATTTTGTAAAGATTGAAAGTTTTGTAAGGTTTAAATAGTGTCAGTAAATTCATTACATTTTCCTTGTTTCCTTCTTATATTTTAATATAGTTTAAAACAGTGAATAATTGGTTTGTATAGTAAAGCATCTGTGGTTGTTCATAGGACCCACCAAGCTCTTCCTCGAGATTCTGTGATAGAAGATTTACACTTACAAAATAGATACCTCCAAGAAAAACTTCATGCTTTAGAAAAACAATTGTCAAAAGATGCATATTCTAGGCCCTTGGTAAGTGGACATGTCTCCTTCTTTTTTTTTTTCTATTTTTAAAGTATATAAGTGAAATCAACTTATTCCTTTACCTGGCCAAAACATTAAATCCTGCTCATAAATACTAATGCAGTCATTTCAGCTTTTATTATTATTAGGTAATGTTGTATATCCCTTGTTCCATGTCCTCAAGGACGTGGAACAAGGGATATCGTTGTTGTTTGTTGTTGTTTGCCGTCGAGTCGGCCCCAACTCATAGCGACCCCTCCTTGGGTTTCCGAGGCAGTATCACTACGGAAGTAGGATTGCCCAACCTTCCTTCTGAGGAG